AGTCTATAGACTCTAATCAAAGCATAGTTCGCATCGCTCGAGAATGCTTGCTTTGCTTCGTTCTTTCGAACGCGTTCGTAGTAAAGCCCGATTCAAAGTAAATTTGGACGCATTCAAGTGATCATAACTCAAGAATTAAACAACATATACGGTTGATCAAAACGTCAAACAAAAGGGTATTTATTCAGCTTTCAAACGATATATAACAAGTTATTACATTTCACCGTTTCGAACGAACTGTCGCACTTTACTTGTGATCGATGCCATCATGATCTGCACAGTCGCTGGTGACACTGTACCGGCGAACTTATTCCACTTTGAACGCATTTGTTGTGCATTTGTCACTTCTCTACCGCATCCTCGAAGTTTTCGCTTGACAATTGCCCAATATTTTTCGATCGGTCTGAACTCAGGGCAATTCGGAGGATTAATCTCTTTGGCGACGAAATTAACATTGTTTGCAGCACAAACGAAGTGACAGACGACTTACTGGCGAAGAAATCCATTTAAATAATGTGGTTCACTGTAATAGAATTTTCTTGGAAGCTTGTGCCATCATCCACCAGATGGGTTAGTTTTTTTGTTTTGATTTGAACAAAGTTGATTTTGTGTACAATGATTCTTTGACAGTGTGCAAAGAGTGCGTATCATTTTGTCATTTTTTATGCATTTCAGTTTTGAGTAGAGTGAAAGAGATAGAACCAAAATATTCTAGTACATTTGGTGAAAATGCTAGTTCAATCCAATAGTAGTGTTGCCATGTGGTACAATCCAGTAGTAGTGGTGTTACCATGTGGTACACTGAAAAATTGCAATAGCAGGTTAGTCACTAAAGTTTTCGAGCCGCTCCGTCTGTCACTTCGTTTGTGGTTTGCAGCATACCATTCTAGTACCTCCTTAGAGTAGTGGCAGCTGGCTAGATCCAGCCAAAACATAACGTTGGTCTTGTGTTGCCGAATGAAGGGTAAAATCCGCTTTTTCAGACACTCTTTAATGTAAACCTTCGACGTCATTGTGTGAGATGTAATGAAAACCTTGGTTTTAAGGCCACAACTGCAGATTTCTTGCCAAATCATTAGTTTCTGAGCAAACATATCAGCAAAAACAAATTTATACCTGGAAGGGACATCCCCACGACCAGTTTTCAGGTAAAAGTTTCGTCCGGGATATGTTTATAATCCTTTTTGACATATGTTTCGTCATCCATTAAAATACAGCCATCAAATGTCGTCAAAACTCGTTCGTATAGTAATCGTGCTCGCTTTTCGGCCACTAAATTTTGTTTTAGGTAGCGTAAATTCGGATGTTTACTGGCACAAAAAGACTTATATCCTTCTCTTGAAAGGATGTTACGGTGGAGAAGTTGGAATCGTATTTCTTCGCCAAATCACGTATTCACGTACCTCAACACCTTTCTCCTCAGCTCTTTGTCCCTAGTGCCACTTTTATGATAGATGCGCTGTGCTTTATCCCCACTCAGAGTATCCTTGTAACGTTTGATTACAAGACTGACCGTTGACTTTGGGAATTTTAACACTTTTGCTATTTTTGAGGCAGACCACGAAGGGTTCTCTAGATATTTGTGCACAATTAATTTTCTTTTCTCAAGTTCCATGATCCGTAATTTCGGGATGCGTCGATCAATCGAGAAAAACTTTTCACCAATTTCTTCGTCAATGAAACATCAACAAATGCCTGTCAAACGTTTTTTGTTCCAACCACCAGGGGCGCGGTGGTGTATTAAACCGTGCGTCCAGATTTACTTTGAATCGAGCTTTAGAAGGAGTGATTTCGAGCCGTACTATGTGAAGATCAGTAACCCTGCTTATAATCGCCAAAAGTACAGGAACTCAGCGATGAGTAAATTTTCTTCATGTTTTTCTGTGGAACCTCGGAAAATAAAGAATATTGGCGAAAATTTTACTCACTCTAGGAGTAATAGCAAAAGACTGAGTGAATCCAATCTTTACCTTTCTCATAGTAATTCCTGGGAATTCCTGGAAGAAACATGAGGCAAATTTACTCATCGCTGAGTTCCTGCACTTTATGCGATTTATGAGTTAACGAAACTCAAATTTGAGTCGTTCTCATTGGCCGTGTAGTTTTTGCTCATATAAACCGGTCTGCAGCTAAAATTTTCGATTTTCCTACAAATCTAAAAACTTTGTGTTGAAGACAAAAAGTGACTTCGGAGATAAACCAACCTGAAAATCTCCTAAATAAAGAAAATCAATCAATCAATCAAAAAGCGAGTTTTTCGTTATCAATCCAATGCATCCAAAATAGGTAGTGGGTTATAACAAAACATATTGCGTCTATCAGATTATGGCAATGAGATCCAGTCTCTGAAGCTGCCGAGAACATCATCAGCGCTGTTGCTCCAAAACATATTTAAGCTCCAACCATGAAACAGTTAATGCGGCAAGATGGCAACAAATGTTCTCAAAACCATTCTTATTTTTCCCGCAATGGTCAATTAAAAGTTTGATTTAGGGAAAATGGATGTAATGTCGGCCTAAATGCCCCTAATTTGGGCCCATACTAAATTTTCAATAGCGACCAAAAATATCCTTCAGTACCGTTCCAATGACGCGTTCATCTAGATAAAATTGATAAATAGCAGATTTTTAGCGATGGGCCCAATCATAGATCCATAGGCCAACATTAGAGCCATTTCTCCTAGGTGCTTGTTCACTTTATCGGCTCCATGTAATTGTTTTGCTAAAGATATATAATATCGTTTCAAATTTAGCTAATTCAAAAATCTGGACCGTTGGGAAGTTATTGACTGTGAAAACATTTAAGAGAATATAACTCCATTTTGATAAACAATGTTTACGATGTATATAATATTCAGAAACTTGTTTACACTAGTTTAAAAACGGAAAATACACCACGCGCAAGCTGCGTGCTCAATTTTCACTGGTATCCCACATCTAAAAAAAAAACGCTTAATTCGAGAATGTTTAGATCTTTCACGGAATGTTAGGGTAGAATAGGTTCAAAACAAGTGCTACCATAGCATGCGCCGAATGAAGCTGACAAAAAAGATTAAAATTTACTATTAAATGAAAAAAAAAATATTGGGATATCAGCGGCAGACAATTTTAATCCTTTTCGTTTTTAATCCCCAATGTGAAATAGTTTTTGAGAAAATTGAAAAAATATTTGTTTTTACAAAAACTGCTTTAGACAAATTACAAATCATATTTTCATATTGTCTTGGTGGCCTTTCGAAAGAAAGCATGCAGTACACTTTGCACTAACGTACCCTCACTATTAATGCATTTACCCTATAGACTAAAATGGGTTAAGTTACGTTATTTCAAGGTATGACGACTTTGTTTTCAATATTGATGGGTTCCCGAGCAAAGTCTGAGATCAAATTGAAATCTAAATTTGATGTTGTGATTTCGCTGATAATGATTGCTCAGGTTGCTGTCGTTTTGGTCGTTTTAACGGTTAAAATATCAAAATTGAGAGCAAAGCAATCTTCCTGTGACATCACATTGAAAACTATTTCTGATATCAGTGAGAGCAAACTGAAAACTCAATTTGATATCAATTTTTCCTGTTGATAACAACACAAGTATTCAATTTGATGTTATGCTAAGACAATGAAAACAAACCCGTAACAACATATTTTTAAAGAGCAAATGTACAGCAAAATGAAAACAAAATTTGGTATCAAATTTGTCAATGTGTAAACTGAAATCAAATTATGATTTCAGTTTGATGTTGATATCAAAACATGATTTCAATTTGCTGTCATTTTGATGCTGGACTTTGCTCGGGTTGCCGGCACCGGTGGTGTAGTGGTAAGCGTGACTGCTTTCTCACCCCAATGGGTCTGGGTTCAATCCCAGCCGAGGCCCGTGGGATTTTTCTGAGATATAACAATCTCTGGTCACGTCCCGGGACCTGTGTGTGTTTGTTTGAATGGGTGCGATATTCTACGCAGGTGTGGAAGCTGCACATTCCTGCACATTCGATTGCCGTCAATGCCGTTTATCTAGGCTCATTGTGGATTATAATCCTACAACATCGAACTTAACCACCATGACAATGATTGTACATTTCTCGTGGAAGCTTATCTTTCATCTTTACATCAAACTGCCGAAAGCCATACATTTTCGCGAGTCGCACTACTTCTCAATGTAGTTCAATGTTTCAACCTAGTATATTGCCAGTAAAGTTATCTTTTACAAGGAAATCCTTTCTAACAACATTGCCACCAGTCATCGTCATGTACATCAACAAAACAAACATCCCATGTAGGTAAGTGCCTCCTCTGTAGCAGCACAGAGAAGCAGTTTAGGATTCTCCATCTCTCTCCATCCACGACCCCGGGTGGTGTTTGACAGGAGACCTTGACCAAGGACTGTTTTTGGCTTGTGTTTCTACCTCACCTCTCGCTCAATATTCGCATAACTAGGATTGCGTGCCACCATCCAACAACAACAGCACTGAGCAGGGCGTTCCGGAGTGCCGTATTTTATTATTGATCGTCCTCACCACACAACAACTACAGCCTTCTTTTCGTCTGGGCAGCGGCACCTTGCAGCATCACTCTTGCTCTGACAACAGCGAGCCCCGGATTATCGCCCCCGGCAGCTGGATGACGCACCCAGAAAATGCATTCCCACCTCCACCGTGCAAAAGTGCATTCCCAGTAAGGAACCTTGCTGACATCGTCGTCGAAGTGTCTCGGAATCGGCCACGGGAATTAACGAGTGTGAATTCACCTCTCATCAGCATTATCAGATAGTAGCGTTCACATTCCACAGTAGACGCACCTCTCACCACTCACCCTCTGCTTCCCAGGCCCTAAGTAGCTAGGAGGAAATGCTATATCGCGAGTTATCTTATATTTTTCTTTTGCCTTCGATAAAACTGACCATGAAAATAATCACTAATTTGCAATTCTTGCATCACAGCCCCTTGAAACGGGCGTTCACTTTTAGCTAATTTTTATTTTATACAATCCGACCAACACCTACCCGCAGCAAAAATCGCCAATCCTTTTTATTCGGGAGCTTTCTTCTCGCACACTTCGCCCACGACTTTTCTTCGCACTCGTCGTTAGTTCACTGCACTTTTTCGCAAAATTTCACTATCAAAAATTGCAATATTGTTTTGCACAACACTAGACAATCGCTTCTGCCACTGCACTTGAACAAACGGGGATCAAAATAACAAAGTTTTCTTTGCTTTTTCGGCTGAACCGCGGATAAAAAAAGATATCACTCACTCTTAAACGTCAGAGGGGAGGTGCAAAATGCAGCAAGAGGAAAATAATGTTCACGGATCACCACCCACCAGCGAAAGGGAAACGACTACGGCACATACTCGACTCGTACGAAAGCGCACACTAAACGATTCGGTGCTCGCAGTCGAACTGAACTGTCGCGGATCGGGTCGTTCGCCCAATGCCCATCGCCCACTCACCACCGCACGAAGACTCTCGGTCTGCGCTTTGAAAACGCCGCTAGGGATGCCCTTGCCCAGTGTAAACTTAGAAAATTCCATGTCCACGTTCGAAACGTAGCTTTTCCATATAAAAACAATCGGAAGATAGTCAAGTTTTATTTTCAAAACTGATCGCTAATTAGATGAAGAGTCGGATTGAATCGAAACTAGCATTTTTAATCCGAAACACTTAATAATCTAATAATATTATGCAAATGTTTCGAAACATACATGAGCACCCCTAGTAACCACAATATTTGAGGCGAAAAACCGAAAACCCGTTTGATGATTCGCCGGTTCTCGGTTAGTCGGCTGTCAAAATTTCGCTATATAGAGTCAAAGTAAATTGAAGCACCATGGTATAACATTCGCTACAATACACGGAGAAACGAAATAAAACGCTGTCCAGACTGGATAGTTATAACGGTTGTCAAATAATTGCAACACAGAAACCACCATCAAGATAGCGCTATAACATGTTATAACTCTCCAGTCTGTACAGCGTTTAACTCAAAATTAAGTCTTTTGTACTCATCTTGACACCTAATTGCAACCAAACAAAATTGAGGCCTTTGCGAAGTATCCCATTTTCAGTATTTTGCAAAGACTTCATTTTGAGTAAAATATAACGGTTTCATAAAGAGTGAATATTGGATAAAAAAAAATACTTAAAACCGGGTTCTTACTGTAAAAATATATTTAGAGAAATTAAGATTTTAACTGATTTTCTTTTATATAACGTAGGACAATTGGGTTCTCTAAAGGTATTGAGGTAAATGCATATTCGTAATCTGCATTAAAAATGAAACCCAAACCCAAAAATTTTACAATTTTGATACACTGAAACTATTTTAAATAAGTACGATTACATTTGCAAAAATCACCTTATTAACGCCCCTCGGTGTCATTTTGTATGGGAGGGAGCTGTCAGTTCAAATAGTGAAGCTATTATTTTGCTTTAAATCTTGATTTAAAAATCGAGATGAAAGTGTGTGGGTTCGAAAAAAATATCACTAATTAAATAAACAATACAGTAGTTTTATTAATTATTATAGGAGTACAAGGATAGTTTAAACATTTAAATAAGAAGAGGTGAGTTCCAAGCTCCCAAGACTCCAACTGGTTTGCATAAATGTATCACACTGCAATTATCTAGGTACACAAAAAGAGATAAACAGCAATCAACCTACGAAGCAGAGTCGAAAAACTAAAACGTCCTTACCTTCACTGATCCGCAGTCCTCAAATACTGAGTGATGGTGCACTTCACTAAAAACGGAATCATGAACTGGAGGAGACCGTTGCGCTTGTAAAAGATCGTTCTGCCTGACTCAATTAATGGAGCAAGGATAACGAATGCCTCTCCCCAGGTTCCAGATATTTTTGGCCTGCATGGAGATCTAAGATAAAAATTAAGTTTAATATATGTTTACCACCGTCATTAGTGTATCGATTACTTTATTCCGTACAGTTTGAGACACTAATTTCACCCCGGATTTCACCAATTTATCAACTTTTCACTTAACTTATCTCGGACCAGACTATTTTCAGACGAACAAGCTGAAATAAACATGGCACACGTTACCATTTTTGATCCAAAATGTAGTGCAAATGCAACACTTGATTTAGAATACTTTCGTAGCGCGAAAAACAAAAACAAAACACAAAATCGAGACAAAAAGTCCTCAAAAATAATAACTCTCTCAAGACTACTGTTTGAGTAAAATTAACGAAAAGTAAATGTTCTGCTAATACTCCAAGTTAAAGTTAAAAGTACTCATCGATGAGAACAAAATTTCACCCAAAACAGTAGTGTTGGCGGAGTACTTATTTTTAAATACTTTCTATCTCGATTTTGAGTTGTTTCCTCGGTTGTTTCGTCTTTCCGTGTAGACTTCTTCGACCTTTAGGAAATTGACCAATGCACGGAATGAACTGCATGAACAAATTTGACGTTTAGGCGGTGCCGTGTTTACTAAAAATGAACACATACTCGCGTAAAATTTAAAAATGGCCTATCAACTTATGTACACAAAACTTGTTAGACATTTTTCGCGCGAACCGAAGTACGCCCATGCAAACCAACAACACCATCGGGAAGGGAGAATTCTCCCTTTTCCGATAGTTGTTTGATTTGCGTGGGTGTTCTTCGGCTCGTGATAAAAGGGCCTAACAAGTTGTTTATAAAAGTTGATAAGACCTTTTCTAAAGTTACGCGAGCATTACATCATGTGTTCATTTTTAGTAAACACGGCACCGCTCAAAAGTAAATTTTTTTCGTGAGTTCATTCCGTGAATTGGTCAATACATAGGTGTGAGTACCTAATGCTACGTTAAACAGCATTAACACATAAATTAGTAAAAAAATACACAGGGAGTCTTCAGCGGTGGTCTATTTTTGGAAAAACTTTATACTGGATTTGGAACAGTGAAAACTAAATAGAACCAGCCAGAATAGATCAGCATTGATGTTTATGCACCGGTGATGTATTTTTTTTTCTTAGCTGTCAAACATTCAACCATTTTCGAGTGGGGCAGAGTTTTTCAATCCGGATTCAAATATTTGTTTTTAAAAGATGGATTGGTTTGACCAAGTAATCTTTACTGCCAGCAGTGTCTCGCTATCGGAGGATAATGAAGAATATTTGCTTTTTCGTTTGGCTGAAGGTGAGCCGCAAATTCATTCATTGAATCATACCAAATAATAATCATATATTTCTTGTGATTTGGCAGCAGAAAATCATAACCTAAAACGGAAAGGCTCGCGTCCTGGAAGACGCCCTAATGTGGATCGTAATTTCCGTTCCGGTCATCAGAAATTGCATACAGAATCATCATTGCTCGTTGACGCAATAGGTTCGCTCTCTGCAATTAAAATGTCCATGATTTCTAAACTAATTACAGTTACCAGATTTCAAACTAACCACTGGTTGCTGAGACGTTAGCTTTCCGTTTTGGCTTCATTAAAATCCGGGAATCTTGAAGCTCCTTGAACTTTGGCTCGTTTTTCAAAATTTCGTTGCAATGCTGAATTTTAAATGTTTTCAGTTTCATTTCTTTGAGAAAAATTTTCGTTGCCTCCTGAAAGCGGTCGTCGTTGGTTGTTCCACTGCAGTTCAGCCTGTTTACGAACGCGAAGCAACCTACAAATTTAGCCACATGGTGGCTCAGCATCCCGAATCGCTGCCGTATTCCATCAGCTGGGCGACTGGCGAAAGACGGAATTTGGGACTGTGCGTGGTCTTTCACGGCCTTCCAAAAATCTCCCCTATGCTGGTCTGTTCCTTTGACAGCATCCTTCGAAATAGCTAGCCACGATCGACATAACTGTTCGTCTTCCTCCTCCAACCAGTTGCTACCTCGCTTGGGATGTGGCTGTGACATTCTACAGGAAAAATTTCTTTGTTGTTCAACTTCCAGGATGCTGAATTTGATTACAACTTACCTTCAACTGAACAGAAAGCAAACAAATTTATCATTAATCGAATTAATCACCGACAGAAAACGACAAGCGAAATCAAAAGACTGCCATGAACAAGCACCTGACTGAAGAATCTATTTGTTTTGGTTTATTTCCCATCGTCTGTCAAAAAACCCAACACACGCTCGTTCGAGCTAACTCAAAATTGAGTACAATTTACTCAATTTCATATCATGCTTTGAAACGTCATAGTATGTGTAATCGTGATTTATGAATTTGAGTAACATTAACTCAAGAGAAAATTAATATTGGCAAAACTAGATCTTATTCAACTGAGTAGAAACTTTTTTGTGACTTTTACTCAATTTTGAGTTATAGATCAAATCATATACCAGATTCAAAATTATGCAGATTAGATCCGATATAAAACAAAATTTGGAACACAGCAGTGTTTTTGTGTTTGATCTAAAAAAATAGACCAAAACCAGGATTTGGACCACCGCTGAAGATGCTCACAGCTGTAAAAAATGTGTTAATTTGGAGATCCTAACATGTGTGAAAAAATACCCATTTTAAGAATGTAGTACTAGTGAAAAAATGTATATTTTTATACTCATTAAAGGGTAAAAAACTTCAAACTTTGCTGCATCCTGCATTGTTGACGCACGCCATTTCTAGATAAACATTTCAAAAGGTTCTATCTGTATTGATCGGTTCTCTTCATCGGCTTTCTCTTTCGTTAAAAACTCAGCTGCAAAACCTTTCACTGTTGCATTCCAGTGCCAACATTTCAAAGGGGCGTAATTGCTTTTATAAACAATGGCTTTACCCGTCAATTTCTCGCAAATAAAAGCCCGCCCCTCCAAATTACCAATGTTAGCTGGGACAGAAAACATTCCTCTACCAGCTGGTGTCATTCATTTTCATGAGTGAGCTTTCATTCGCGAGAAATCGAAGACAAAAGTCACTGTTAACAAATGCAATTACGCCCCTTTGAAATGTTGGCACTGATTTGACGTTTTGGACGCTAGAAGAACCTCCTTTAACAAACTATGTGGTCAAATAAGCCCGATATCTGTTTCTTCCTTCGGAAGGAAAGTAAAGCCGTTGGTCCTCGGTTGATGAGTTGATGGGTAGATAGGTAGGGTTCAGGTGTGGGAGCTGCCTCCCTGGCTTCGGTAGCATTGGTGCTCAGCACGGAAAACAAGATCGAAGGAGAACAAGTTAAGGAAAAAAAAAAAACAAAAAACCTGTATTCTTGTAGGTATTGCTCGTAGCAGAGAAAGACAGGATTGATTTAAACGAAGTTTATTACTGTAAACACAGCTTGATGGTTGGATTAGAACTAATTAGAACTAGGTGAAAATTCATTAATTAATTAATTTAGCTTTATTTAGGAGGCTTTCAGCCTTAGGCTGGTTCGCCTCCAAGTGGTGAAAATTCACTATTTATACCCTCCTAGTTGTTTATTGGTTACCATGGAGTCCTTGGTT